ATGCAGTATTATATCTCTTTTCTAAATTACGTTTAAATCTTATACCCTTTAAGGGGTGAATTGAGAAATCAATAAATAAATAATTGAAAAGGAAACAATTTCTGACTGACAACTTTTAAATCGTCAAACAGTCTTTAACACGTGACTCAATTTTTGCGATAAAAATGTTCCAAAAGAACGGGAAATTGACCTGGTATGTCTTCAGTGGGTGCCGAATTAAGCCATTTGTACACATTTGTAAAACCCGGGTGTAAAACATTCAAGATGTTTTAAAGGTGGACCTATTTTAAACTAACGATTGAACTGTTCTTTCGATACAGATGAAATAAAACAAATTACAATTTCGGTTCATTATTTTGGTACTACTTATTGGACTTGGACTCCTTTGTTTAATTGATTGATGCAATGGAAAATAAATAAAACTGTTAACGGTTTTCCGGTGATTCAAATAGAGACGAAACTCTCGGTTTTAGTCAAACAAAGTACAGAGTATGAAATCATAGTACAACAAATTCTCCCGAGGTATCCAAAATCTAGAGTACGCTAAGAATGTGAATACTTTTCGGAACTATTTTAATTGGAAGAGATATATTGATCGCTTTCTTATGAGGTAATCAATTTCCAAAGAGGCAAGAAGGACCTAAAGTTATTTTCGTGATTGACTGAAAAATATGAAAAATGAAAGCATAGGTAAGTTGTCTATGGTACATGTACAATAACAGGAAAGAAACCTAGACTATGCCGTTGCCCATATGCATGGAATACTAGCAACACCAAAACATGATGTTAATTGCAAAAACGTTTTAGCTGATTATTGATAATGCAAAGTACATGTATGTAAAGGGAATATTTGAAAAAGTTACATCTCCTAAAAAGTTTGAGCACACTGAAGTCAACGTAATGAGTAATCGGTTATTCCGAATCTATGTCAAATGGTGAATTATGATCGATTATTATCAGCTTTTGATGTAAGGCAACGCAAAATCAAGAAGCTCTATTTTTCAATATTGAAATGATGTCTAGATTTTTCAATAAAGGGGGCTATATAGGGGGTTCATTAAAATTTTTCACAACAGGCTAAATAAATAAAAAAAAACAGGCAAAACTAATGGAAATCATAAATTTAACATGGAAAAGTTGTCCCCAGAAACAGCGATTTTGTGAAAACAACCGGTGAAAATCGTCTGTTGTTTGCTGCTAATGAAACCCCTGCTATAACTTTTTAAAGATCTCAAACATATTTTAAATGAGACGCTAAACTCTGGTGTTCAGAACGCACCTGTCCAAGACGTCCTTGCTTCGACAACTATTTATTCCGAGATCCTGATTGATATTTCAATCTAAAAAGAGATTTAATAGCAAAATGATAACATCGGAAAAGATGAAGGCTGGTATCTGTGTTATCCCCTTCTAATGCCATTATGCTTATTTTCATACGACACCTGTCCTGCGATGATTATCGGTAACCTAACTCATTATCTAATTACAGGTATGCTCTAACATTTTGTCTACACAACTGAAACCTTCATATCCACAATTTGAATGGACTTGAACATTACTACCGAGCAATATTTCCTCATGAGGATACTCAGTATATCATTTTAGTTTAGCAGGAAGTTTAGATTTGCCAAATTTGATTAATTATCCGTCAATAAGAGGTCGTTTAATCCCACCTAGTATCCTAATTAATGTTTCATATCGATGTCGATTTGTTCATTGCTCAGGTCATTGGTAACATCGAACTACTGAAGGTGATATCAGTAAAGCACATTCTCCAGTTAAGTACAATTTATCGAATAGTAGTTAGGAAGTATTTATGTATTACAAACTAGTAGATCCTCAACTTAACTCGTTCAAATGAAATATCAAGATATTCTATCTTCGAAAACGTGGACTTATTGATTTAATTTAAACTTTGGAGTTAAAGTAATTGTAGAAGATCCTTATCAATTGGAATTCATTTCTTTCCTTCAACGTTCACCTATCTACTTGGGCCTTGGAAAGCTAGTAAAATATAAGGGAAGTCTGGTCCATCAGAATGCCATTATTAACGTCTCATCTTTAACGTCGCACTCTTAGGGAATAGATATTCCATCGTGAGAGACGGGTTTATTCTCTGTCGAGACAAACGAATGGATAATGAGCTTTAAGATAAATTAAGATATATTGTTTCGACGGTCAAAGAAACGTAGAACATCGGGAACGGTAAATTAAAGGCTCGACAATCCGCTTTGTTTGGTATCCTTATAATTTGCGCCACTCATGGGCAAGAAGTTGTGAAGTACAGTAATTCTCCAGGTGGTTGAAATAGATGGATGAGTTTTTTGACGGTCAAAGAAACGTAGAACATCGGGAACGGTAAATTAAAGGCTCGACAATCCGCTTTGTTTGGAATCCTTATAATTTGCGCCACTCATGGGCAAGAAGTTGTAAAGTACAGTAATTCTCCAGGTGGTTGAAATAGATGGATGAGTTTTTTCTATTCAAACTAAACACGACTAGCCAATTGTAATTATTTTCCAACTTGCATTTTCATTATTTGCGTCTGAGCGTATAATCGGAAGGTTTTGTGTACCTTCTCGAGAAAAACAGAGTCCAGCACGCTGGGCAAGCTCTCAAAATATTAAACCGTGGAATGTCACAATCGATAGGCACACCTTTTCAAATTGCCTTCGTATTTTTTACGCATAGCTAACATTCATTGGTTTCAACTACTGGCTGTCGGTTGACAAATTGTTTAGTATTTTATAGTCAACTCATTTAAATATGAATAGTACATGCTTCTATTCATATTCATATTCATATTTAAATGGGTTGGCCATAAAATGGCAATCAAATTGTCAGCGGACAGCCGGCAGTTGAATTTGCGAATGCTAGATGATGCATTTGGTAATGAAAGATGAAGTATTTACACATTTAAAGAGCATGTAAAATGATTTTATGGTCGTGAAACATACTTATATTGATGATCGATCGTTTCACGCGTGAAAGAATATTTGGGCTTAGGTATCATGACATTTGACGATAGATTCCAACATCATGCTACGGAATTCTCTTCCTGGGCCAAACAGCCATCATCGGAGATATAATTTCACTAATAAATAATATACAAGGAGGCAACCTTAAGGTATCGGCATGCAAATCATGTAGCGTGGATTATCCATATGAAAACAGATATAAAACAAACGTAAAACTGTTCTGGAAAACATGTGCCTTAGAAAAATACCACCCTGTTTAGATTAGAAGAAGGTACCTTGATTGCGATTAGAAATCGTTAAGTAGGGAGAGGGAAGGTAAAGAACGATGTATTGACATACCACTGATATTATTCGCTGAATTTAAGCTGATAAACTACTTTTCTGCATGAAATTCCGATTTTAGTTAATCAGTATATTTGTTTTCATGACTTAGACACTATTCCGTCAAATGATAGCCACTTTTGATAATCCATAGCTACCTAATACAGCAGAGGACGTCATCACGAACCTATACGCAAGCCGGAAGTTAAAGAAAACAATTTGAACTGCATGCCTCCATCGGCAAAATCCATTTAGATCACATAAAGTCAAATGAGATTCAAATAAATCATATATTAATTAGGAGCGAGAATTCTGTCTAAAGAATGAAAATTTCCTACTTCCTATTATGAAGTTACTTTTCTCGAAATCTTGAAATACAATTTCATCCGTTCTGTAGTTCAATTTTAGCTGTGTGTTTAGCAGATCCTTTGGCAAACTACTCTATCATTATATTAATCAACAACTTGGGTGTAAATCAACAACTTCCGCACTGTCGTCAACTAATAATGATTCAGAACCTCTCGATATTGAGGAACATCGCAGGTATATTTCTCTGTTGATTGTTTTGTAAATACAATATGGAGATGGATTTGTGTATATGTAATTATAAAGTTTGGGATGCACAGCAAATAATGCTCGATCGATGATGATAATCTTCGAATTCAGAACTATATTTTGTACTACTGTATTGCATTCAGTTTGTTTAATGTTTAGAACTTTAACTAACTAATGCATATCCTGTAAAACCCGATATTCAGAAAAACTGAAGAAATGGCTTTCGTCAATCAATAATCGATAATTTAAATTATAATCGAGAAAAGATAGTACAGAATTGCTCAAGTATTACTTTATAGGAATCTAGGTCAAAATTTGTTTCGAAATCAGATCTAATTTTCTTTTGCTGTGTAAGGATTATTCTTGAGCGACAATGATGTAATAACCTTAAAAGCAAATTAAATCTGTCATTTGCACAAATCGTATTGTCTAACGCAGAGACGTGAAATAATGAAATCAAAACGGAATTGGAATCGAAATCGAATAAGTGCTAGTCATGTGAAAACGAAGAGAGTGTACTATAATATTATGTATACAGGATGAGTGAGCCATTTAAAAGGGACATTTTGAGTCATTCTTGAAAATGCAGTGTTCCTTATTTATAGCCCATCAAATATTTTCTTTCAATATGCTCCTTCTTACTGATTGGTATAATAACTACTGTTTTCATAACATAGTCCAATTTTAATGCAGAAACCATGATTTTTAGACATCGAGAGAAAATGTGTTTTTATGCAAATGTTATAAAACTCAAACTGTTCACCGGATCGTTGGATTCATTATCAAGATATCCAAAATCCCTCCGCTACGCTCACACTATTACGATGATATTAATTGATATCAATTTATTGTTAAAAAGGAATGATATGGCTCAAAGTTTTATGATATCATATTCATACAGGTGTCTTTGATTTTCACATCAAATCGACCTAAATAAGGTGATTGAGTATATGTTTTTACTTCAAATGTCTACACAAAAAAGTTGATTACGTATGAGGATTCGGAGCTTTTTTTCACATGAAAACAGTCACGAAATTCTGCATTCGAAAATGTGAATGCAAAATGAAACATTGATATAATGTAATTATATTTCTAAAACTACTTAACTAATCATTAATATGGCTTAATTACAAACTAATTACTCACTACACTCTGTGTATGATATGACGACCAGCGCGTATATTCCAAGCCGTATATTCCAGTCAAGACACATATTTACAATCATCATATCCGAAGCTTGTCTCCTAAACGTTTTGTTTTAGAATCTCAGCTCAGAATCATGTTGCGCTTATTATTCCAGAGGATTCATCGGCATTCAGATTATTAACTAGTCTATGTGTTCATTAGATAGTGAACAATTAATAATGTTACTTTACGTATACACTACTGATCACCCGCTATGTTCCATTCCAAATATTCACAGAACCTGGTCACGGGAATTAAGTGAGTAGTAAAAACATGAGCATTCCGGAACCTAGCCTTGGTGTATTTTAATAAAATCTACGTACAGCGTCTCGGCACAGTGGTATGCACCTGCATAGACAGGGATAGAGCTGCGGTCACTTCCCGTTCTATATTTCACCAATGCCCTGAATTTTATTGGCGAATTAGTCATTACTAGACTCCGTGATTTTATATGATCCTAGTATGATAAGCCGACGCACAAGCGATGTCTTCGACATAAGAAATCATAAAGCCTAGCCACATTCCACACATGGCTGACTATTACAAAAATGTTCCATTCCTATCAATGATAAGATTTTAGTATGTTCTTGCAATGCACTGGTTAATTGGAAAAAGTTAATTATATATGTTACTGGATGATTTAGATTCATAACGGTGCCTTGTAAACAAATCTGAAAATCACAATTACGATAAGCTAATTAGGGTATGCTTAGAAAATGTAAAATGTAACTATCTGACATTTCATTTACTGTAATTTTAAATTATCTAAACATGGTTTGGGCTCAGTGACACAAGTGGGCATTAAGTCAATCGAATATCCTTGTGTTAAAGTATTTCTAGTTGATAAACGTAGTTAATGTAGATATGTATGTTTTGACAACCGATCGTCATGGTCTCATCTTGCTGGAACGTTCTAAGCAGGAAGCGTATCTAGCGATATCCATATCAAGCATTAGAAGTGTTATAACTAATAAACAGTTTGATTTCTGACCCGAAATAAAGTTATTATCACGATTTAAATGACCCTAGTCGCCCTGGACTATGCGCCGACTGACCCGAGCTACCACACTCTGACAAAGCGATACTGATGAGGCTTATTGCTATGTATCCAGGTATCGTATGATGATTTACTGGGTGGGGGTGAAGAATACATGTCACTAACAAGGCTACTTATCGTATGATTGAAGACCTGTCAATTGTGAAACATCAAGCTAAATCATACTTTTCTTCGTGAGATCAATTGTTTTGTTGAGATTCCTAGAGTAAACGGCATGTCATTGACAGATTTTTCTCAGATTTTAACATGAGCGTTGTCTACAGATCTTTTGTCTTTGGCTGTAGGATATGCGACTACCGGATTTATTTATCATTATGACTGAGCGATCTCTGAATCGTAACTATCGTAATAATTAAAAGCATAAGATCTCTTTGTTATCATCTGTTGTTACATCATGTGTAAGTCTATTACTAGGATATGCTTTTGAACTGAATTTTTCCATAGCAATGGACCAGAAATAAACATTGTTGGAGATCACATGTTTATGTCAATTCTTTTCTGGAGGGTATATTGCTAGTTTGAAAGCAGATGAGTTTCCAAATGAACAATACCTTTCCATATGCATATACATTTTCTTAGGATGTAGTTCTCCTTGGAACAATTTTCCCTCGGGGGCAATGAGATGAAGAGAACGTCTGTTTGTGATAGATACTCTTTTACGGCATCGTATATGGTTTCTGAAGGTGTGATAAAACAACGATGAATCTTACGTATATAGCAAGTTAGAACTGGTTTGATAACACATGACTGGCGATGTTTACGATCAGTTTCAATTCATGACAAATTATCTAAGTTGTATCAGAATCAGATGACGTCTACTGGAATAACAATATTCGCAGGATTCATTTATTTTATTGTTTTCTCCATGGGAATTTAATATCGAGGAGTTTAATTAAATATTGGCTCAGATGATACAGAGTCAAAGAGAACATAGCGTCCACTTGTTATGGACGATTTATCATTGATAAAACTCTAAATTAAAATAGCGTTCGATATTTTCCTCTCATAACTTCCTAAGATGTATTATTTCGGAGTTGCATTGATTTTGACGAAATATAAGCCCCCTAATAATTCTCAACAACGTCGAATCAAAATATCTCTCACGATTCAGATTCGGAAGTAGGTTCCTAATGTTATCTGGATTGAATCAAAGACGGGTTGATATGACATCATTCATGCATTGTAGAAATCTGAAAATATCTTATCTGCATATTTGTTCTGTCTAGGTTTGATTATGTCAATCGTATTATCCCTGAAATAACCGAGGTGTTCATGAATTTAGCTTGGAATTACATAACCAAATCATTGGTGATAGAGCACGTTGGACCAAACATGTCTGGGTTGAATATACAACAGTGACATCTATGATACGTCAGTTTTAAGAGGAATGCTCTAAAAACCCTTCGACCTGCACCATCGACCTTCAACCTTCGACTTATTGGGTGTTCATAAATTTTTGAAATTAAACGTTATAAAATGCGCCATCTCCATAACTGGAATAAGGAAATTTGAGACAGGTATCACTTACTTAGAAAGCAGTCCCTCCCCATAATGACCATATGTTGCGGTAATATTTTTGTTTAGTTTAAAAACAATATGTATGTATCCAACAGAAGTGTTATAACAGTATATCAATTGGGCCGAATGGTGTACTTTGGTGTAAAGACTAAAACCGAACCGATCACAGAAAAACAATTTGAACCATGGGCAAAAATTGGAACCAAAAATTGGAACCTCGCGTACAGAATGTCTCCAGTGCTCTTCGAGATCGGCAAAAATAAATTCTATTAGCTGTTCTTTTTGGACACCCAATAGGCGAAGGTTGAAGGTCGAGGATGCAGGTCGAAGAATCTTAAATTTTAGGTGAAACCATGTAATGTAACAATTAGATACATCGACTGTATAATACATCCAATAATACATTGAACTATAGGCCTCTAAGCTCGATGCCACCCCTTGGCATTTACACAATCTCCTCTACCTCCTTACCCGAGTATAATCTTAATTAAAAATGACATCAAAAAAGAACACATCAAGGCAACAATGCAAAGCATCAGTCAAACACAATTATCCGTCTTCAATAATTATATCTTCATCATGGCGCAGAGTTCTTAGCTCTGGCAACGAAGAGATAAATGCGTGCATTACTCATTAAAGAAAAATTGACTGTTCACTGTTTACATTTTAAATATACCAGGTGTGTCTCAGCCAATCAGCTTAGAGTATTTCGGTGCATTAATTCTACGTATATGGTCAAGTGAGCAAAACATTATCTTACATTTCATTATGGTTTCATAAAGAACAAAGCAATTTGTCATTGTTGGTAAAAAGTGACGTTATTACAGTGCATTATGGTATGAAGATCTGACAATGGCATTTCTTATGAAAGAGTGATAGTATATTTAAATAACAATAAAAAAAACTGTATCATTCTTTTTTGGATTTAACGCATGCATGCATGTTCTTAATAACTTTATTTGCAGCTTTTATTATGAAAACCATTTTGTCAAGCTATGGAATTCTGATTGTGATGCCATCACTTTGTGTGTATTTATATGGAATTGAAAAGTAAACAAAGTGTTGACTTGAAACACAGCTGCATGTTCGAGCCTTTCTTGTCTGCATTTTTTGAATTCTAGCCGATTCATGTATAAACAATTGCCATCAATATCCAAATACTATAGGATATAGTATTGTGCAATTTAACCTAAATGAACAAAAAGATAGAGAACAATATCAATACAATGTCGCTGGCATTAACTATCATGCGGCATGCGCCATCTATAACGTTGTTGAAATAGCTCTTGTACAACACTAATGCCATCTTTAAAATATAAGGTGTAGCATTACAGTAGACTAATAATATACTTTACCTCTTGCGCCATTTACATCTACAGAATGTGGCATTCTTCTATAGTTTGAAGCTGTAAAATGGAACATATGTAAACCTAAACAAAACCATAGAAAATGTAAAGCAATGTCTAATTTAAATAAATACTAACAATTTCTAATACACAAAATCATCTGGTCTACTAATTCTATGCGTCATATACTGATAATGATTATCATTTGGCTTAAACATTTCAGAATTTAAAATACAGCTGGGTATGAAACCATGGACGTGACTCTAACAAAATGCCAGGAATACAACTTTAATTCTAATATTTTATTTCAAATCGTATTGAATTAAATTAAACCAATGAAAAATATAGAGATCAGATGTGAAACATATTTAGATACGTCGATTACCCTTAACCCATCACTATAATATGCAACTCTCCCACAATCTTAAACGATGGTGTACATTGATTCTTATTCAAATCTGTTACTCATGACTATAAGATGAAATCAATGGTCGTGGGTCTTATTTTCGCTGATTTTTTGCTGTAGTTACATTATCTCCTGTTCCATGTTATTCATCTTAGTTATCCTGTCTGACAAAACCTTTAATTATTTTCCAAATTGGGACGTTGTGCATAATCTAAGTGAGGTTGTGAATTAAAACAATGGCATGGGGGTTAATCACTTTTAAGCACTTCTAGATATGTTTACATCATAAGTTGTCAAAAGGGAAGGCCAAGGAGCATATAAGCAGAACACAATTGGTAAAAGAATCTTTTTAGAGAACAAACCACAATATCCCAATCTATGTTCAACGACCTCTCTCCCGTCATTTAGGAACACTATCAAAAAACAACAACAAGAACTTGAGAAAAACTATTGTTAAACCTTCTTTATTAAATAATGACGAAGACTTTATTAGATTCAATGTGATAAACTAATTCTAAACGACCATAATATAGATTCTGCCCACGCAAATCAAATTCGTGAACCTTACCACATTTTCCTTCGAGTAGTGTGAATAAGGCTAGCTTGACTCGGAGTTATGCCATTGAACGACGAATTAACTTATTGTTGCCTTTTGATCTAGTCTCGATCAATTACTTCACACAGTGATTGAGTTCTCAAACGAAATCTAAACGAATTTTATTTAATGATCTACCGTGGTAGATATTTGATATCAAACCTCGACCATCCCGTTGACCCTAGGAGGATTGGCTACTGAGGTCCTTGGGCATGCATTAGTTTGTTCAGTGCGTTTAACGCTACGACAAAATACGTTATAAATTGCTTGTCAACATATTAACTGGCTATAAATTCATTATTGTAATCGATTTGAAGAAGTGCTTTGATCACTTCTTGATTGGTTGTTTTGAAATTGATAGCCACTTATAGTACTTGATGTCATTATAAATGCCTACATACATGTAGGGCCTCCCAGTTATATAGTTATTTTACATTTTACATTTTCCTGTTCCATGTAAGTCCTTGTGTCCATTTAGTGCACACTACGTAAAATGCAATGAAAATACTAATAGGTGTAGTTGTCCCAAGGGAAAAATATCCTCAACCTTTGATGATCTGATTGAGCATACGCCAGGGGCGACGTAGCCAGCTTTCAGCCCGGAGGGTGCGATCGCTAAATTGTTTCGGTTTTCAATCAGGGGCTGCGATCTTGACATAAGCGAGCCAAAAAAGATTTGTTTTGAATTTTATAAAATATGATGCAACTTCCTTTATAACTGAGCTAGAACCTTTAAATAAAAATCTATTTAATGGTTGTATTTTTATTGGTAATGGGGGGTGCACCAATCGCACCCCCGGCTGCGCCCTTGTACACTGCAACGTTTTGTTTATGATGGAAATTGAATGTAGATATAAAGTTAGTTAGTTAGGTATAATCATATAGATATTAAATAATACGCCCAACGGGACACATACTCATGATCCCTACCACAAATATACGTACATCTGATGGGCCTACCTTCGCTGTCGGGGGCAGTCATGTCACCAACTAAATTCACCAACGTATAGGTCAGCATCCAGAGTTGCCTTGTTGTCCACATATTCTTGTTGTATGCAGTTGTTCTCTTTAACTATCGTTTAAACGTCTGTCATTGTATCACTTATTAGTCCCTATTGTAGAGGAATGATATCGTACAACTGACCTGGAACAAGAGTGGGGTGTAATTAGTGAGTCAATACTCAAGTTTTATCAAATGGCCTAACACTTGAAAATGGAGGAAACATGATAATGCATTAGAGTTTTTATAACGCTGATACGTTCAAAGAAACAATATCACGTGCATATGCAAGTGCAAATAAACACAAATTCATGTAAGTAATGTCAAGTGCATATGCAAGTGCAAATAAACACAAATTCATGTAAATAATAGCACGTGCATATGCAAGTGCTAATAAACACAAATTCATGGAAATAATATAACGTGCATACACAAGTGCTAATAAACACAAATTCATGGAAATAATAGCACGTGCATATGCAAGTGCAAATAAACACAAATTCATGTAAATAATAGCACGTGCATATGCAAGTGCAAATAAACACAAATTCATGTAAATAATAGCACGTGCATATGCAAGTGCAAATAAACACAAATTCATGTAAATAATAGCACGTGCATATGCAAGTGCAAATAAACACAAATTCATGTAAATAATAGCACGTGCATATGCAAGTGCAAATAAACACAAATTCATGTAAATAATAGCACGTGCATATGCAAGTGCAAATAAACACAAATTCATTGAAATAATAGCACGTGCATATGCAAGTGCAAATAAACACAAATTCATGTAAATAATAGCACGTGCATATGCAAGTTCAAATAAACACAAATTCATGTAAATAATAGCACGTGCATATGCAAGTGCAAATAAACACAAATTCATGGAAATAATATAACGTGCATATGCAAGTGCAAATAAACACAAATTCATGGAAATAATGCCACGTGCATATGCAAGTGCAAATAAACACAAATTCATGGAAATAATATAACGTGCATATGCAAGTGCAAATAAACACAAATTCATGGAAATAATGTCACGTGCATATGCAAATGCAAATAAACACAAATTCATCGAAATAATAGCACGTGCATAAATTATGCAAGTGCAAATAAACACAAATTCATGGAAATAATATAACGTGCATATGCAAGTGCAAATAAACACAAATTCATGGAAATAATGTCACGTGCATATGCAAGTGCAAATAAACACAAATTCATGGAAATAATAGCACGTGCATAAATTATGCAAGTGCAAATAAACACAAATTCATGGAAATAATGTCACGTGCATATGCAAGTGCAAATAAACACCAATTCATGGAAATAATAGCACGTGCATATGCAAGTGCTAATAAACACAAATTCATGGAAATAATATCACGTGCATACACAAGTGCTAATAAACACAAATTCATGGAAATAATATAACGTGCATACACAAGTGCTAATAAACACAAATTCATGGAAATAATATAACTTGCATATGCAAGTGCAAATAAAAGAAGAAAAGCTGCAACATCTCCTAAATTATTCACTGATGGAGTATTTAGGTCTACGAATAACTTGAGTATATATTTGCATCTCAAATAAACCGTGATTTGGTTTCCAAAATTGCATTAGTACCTCCATGTTGAATCACAAAGAGCATTTCATTCAAATATCAAATAGATAAATTCGACAAATTAGGACACAATTAGGTTAAATTACAAAAGTGCGTTTATGCTTATGGATGTTCCTTCGATCCATCTTCTTAAAAAGTGAGAGAAAAGTGGTATTACTTGCTTCCAATGGTTAACACTTTTTATGCATGTGGAATAAAACTCAAGTTATGATGTCTCCTGTTAAATTCTGGATTACTGGATTTGATCAGTGTGTCTTAAGACAATTACGTATCTACAAAGTACAGACGAATCAAGATCCCTTGTACACGCCTAACCATCGACAAGGTACAGTGACAAGATATATCGGAGTACACTTTAGATGCATGATGTCACTATTTAACCGATTTGAACCAAAGACAATGATGTAGGTTTGATGTAGGTTTTAAAAAATAATCTGAGGAATGCATTAAAGATTTCATGTACTTTCTAATAACGTTAAAAGATTTTCGAACAGTGGTCGATTTTTTTCGTAGTCAATCTACCCATATAATTGGTCGGTTGGAAAATGTTGTGTTTTTACACATTTCCTTTGATCATCCCCCCCCCTGTCGTCTAAGAGTGTCGAAGATTTTTATGAGAATATGTTTCTTTAATCAACACAATTGAGGTCTGTTGAAGATTTTAATAAGTATTAACGTTTTGGCTATAATCTAAAAAATCATAAGTGTACGTTGTCAACTCGAATGTACGTTGTCCCATTAAACTTACCCAATTCACAGTTAACCCTAATGCAGACAACGTATTCTTCATAACACTAACAGACAGGGGGGTCAGATGCATTTAGAATTGAGACAGAACAATTACAGAATTACTTCAATTTGATTGAACAATTGAAACTTTCCAGATATATTATACGCGGGATTTTAAAAAGTCATAAGGGGTCCGTCAAAATGGTAGCAGACCAAAATTTATCTCAGTAACATTTTACACAAATACACAGGATTATGATTACAATTTGAAGAGAAAACAATACAAATAGATAGAATAATATATGGGGAACATTTCGAGGAAATATACGTATCATCAACATTCACGTATTATACAAACAACTATCAATCGGAAAGTATCTTGAACTATTACTTTATTATCGCCCAAAGACCCCTTAGACACGCAATAATTAAAAGTGCGGCTGTTTAGAGTGACGCGTTTCGTTCAGTGCAATTTTAATCGCTATAGCGAAACTGAACTGCCAGTATGCCCGGGAATATGTCATTCAAAAACTTCTTAGCACGTAGGGAGATAAAAGAGCGTGTAAAGGTAATAGAAAAGAACTTATCTAATCTAATACCAGTATCACTAAAAAATCCAACGGGAGTCAAGGCTAAACAAGCTAAGTTCGAAGATATAAACAACAATAATAACAGTGAAACGTATTGTGTATTTAGAACAAGACAAACCAGACTTCTAAAATGGGTGATCGCAAGTTACCTTTTCTACAACGATTTCTTGTCAGCAGAATGGTCAAAAAAAGATGAAAATAAAAAAATCTGTATCGAACTTCAGGGAGAAGGAGAAAAGTCTACGGATATTAAATACAAACTCACAATCTTTTTAACGACTGGGACAATCCAAGTGCAAGGAAACAACATCACGTCATTCAACGATGACTTTGATAATCTTAAAATGTGTACTGATACAATCAATCCATCAACTGATGAAGAAAGTGATGATGATACTAGACTCATAGACCTTGATGATAATACGGTCATTGATATTGAAGTAGAAGTTGAGGGAGAAAAAATTGTGGTAGAGGCAATCAAACAAGCTGACATTAACATTAGAGAAATAAATGGTGTGGAAACAGTGGACATGAAGGACATAACACCAACAGAAACAATGGACAAAAACGCTACAAAACTCAAAGAGGTTTTTGATAATGAAAATACACCTACAAAACTCAAAGAGGTTACAGCTATACAGCCACAAAACACATCAAATGAAAAGCAAAGTCAAAACAAGTCTACGAAAATGATGAAATTACAAAATGAAAGTTTAGAAGAGGACAATCAGGTCACTCGTGAAGATATATCAAAACTGAACAACAAATTGAACAAACTAGAGACAACAATATGTGATCTTATGGACAAGATAAAAGAAAATAACAACATCAATACATCAGGAAATGAGAACAATCTCTGTGAAAACGAGGTGCGAAAATTAAGAGCAGAAAAGAAAGAAAGGATAGCCTTTGTTCTAGAACAAGGAAATAAAATCAAAACATTACAATGTGAAATTGAACACCAAAGGACACTATTAAGCTCCAAAAATAGAGAAATAGAAGAGCTAAATGAAACAATGAGCACTAAAAGTAACAGTATACTAGAATCAGAAAGAGAAATCAAAAGCATGAAAAATAAAGTTAAAGACCAAGAAATGATAGAAAAAAAGTTAACCTGCAAAAATGAAGAAATAGAAGCTCTAACTGAAAAGCTATCAGAAAAGACAATGCTGTTATTGAAAAAGGAAGATGAGATTTTTGACCTGACTGTACAATGTAAAAAGTTGTCAGATAGTGACACCGCGCCATTCACTCAAGTTAAAGGGAAGAAACAAAATACAGATTCTGGTAATGGTGAAACTAAACCGAATGAAATATCCATTGAAAGCAGAAGTTCTGATACTAAGGGTGATAGACCCAAGGTTAAGATTTTGGGTTCATCTATCCTAGCCCACGTTGACCCATCTAGAATGTATGGTTTCAACACCACCATGGAGCAAGCATATACAATCCAGCAAGCTAAAGGCAAATTGGAGAACATGAAAGATAAACCAGACGTCATAATTTACCAAGTGTTGAGTAATGATGTAAAATCAGAATCAGATGATAATATAATGGAATCTATGGAAGAACTTGTCCAACTTACTGAAACACTGAAAGAAGATAGTAAAATTATATTATCCCTACCACCCCCAAGAAAAGATGATGCTAAATGGAACGTACGGCAGAGAGCACTTAATGCAAGATTGGAAGCCAGATATCATGATAAGAGTAATGTGGTTTGTAGCTCTAATGAAAATCTTGGCTACAATGGTCATCCAAATGCGAAATTCTACCGAGATGACGTACACATTAATATGCAAGGCACGAAAATTCTTTGTGCAAATATATTGAATACTTTAAGAAATATGTTTGGTCTTCCCCACCCCAGGCGTAACAGCAATGATAGGCCAAACAATTGGCCAAACCGATATGATCAACCAAGATTCAATGGTCGTCCAACTAACTATGAACAAACAAGATCTAGGAATAACTCCTTTAGGTCCAGAAAATATTAAGACTGCTAGGTCTACTAGTTATTGTTACATTAGTTATAGACTGTTGTAATGTGAATACCCACTGGGTATTTATTTATGTTAAAACGCACCCTCTGGGACTTTATGCTAAACACTTAGAATATGGCACCTTACAGGGAAGGACTCATATCAAAACTATAATGGGTATACAATATATATCTTTGTAAAATTAATATTATAACTTTTCTAAATACGTGATACGTGTCTCTTATTGATACAATAGGCATAGTATAGTGTGATACAAAATATGATGTGACATAAAATACTATAAACACAGAGTATGCGCTCTTCCCTGTATTGAATCTTGTGCCCTTAAGTATAAGAATCGATTAGATAAGGATATTTGAATTAGATTAAGAATCTTTAAAGGTTGGATCTATCGGAGTAGATATATGGATTTCATATGTATATAATCCTGTGTATTAGAAGTGTTAATCGTAGGCTATATGACAGGTTTACAAGTAGTTGATCACATATCTGTTGCCTGCTGGAATGTTCAAGGGTTAAAGAGTCGCGCACGCGATAAAATAATTGATAAAGATTTCATCTCACAAATACAAGATCATGATATTGTATGCTTAACAGAGACACATGGGTCAAAGGACGAGCCAAACGATTTCAGTAGTCTAAAGAATTTCACATCATGTGAAGTAACTCGGTCCAAAACAGGTAATAAACGACACGGAGGAATCGCGATATTGGTTAAAAAACATATATTTAAAGGTGTAGCGTTCATTAAAACTAAAAACCCCAATATATTATGGGCAAAACTATCACGAGAATATTTTGATAACAAGCGAGATATATTTATATGTGTTGTGTACATGTCCCCGAGTAATTACAAAGGCAAATCTGATGACGGTTCGGATATGTATGACACCTTAACAAGCGAAGTAAGTAAATATATAACGAAAGGTGAGGTAATAATACTTGGGGATTTGAACTCCCGCACTGGTAATATGAAAGATTACATTGAGAATGATGAAATACATGATTATATCCCTCATGACATTCCGTACCAAATAGATACACCAATCCATGAGCGTTCCAGCAGTGATAATAAGATAGATGCTGATGGGAAAAAATTGATTGAACTATGTAAAGCCTCTAACTTAAGAATTGTTAATGGCAGAGTTATAGGCGATTCGCAAGGCAACTACACTTGTCATAAATGGAACGGAAGTAGTGTAGTTGATTACTGTATAGTTGAGCAGAAAATGCTCAAAAATATAATGTACTTTAGAATAAGTGAATATCTGACAGATTTGACTGATCATTGCATGATATCACTGCTTTTGAGGGTAAATAAGGTAACAAAGTTGAAGCAGGAAATTAGTGGTAGTGATGACAGAGTTATCAAACGGATTTCTGCTAGTAAATTTAAATGGGACCCAACACAAACTAAAAATTTCGCAGATGCATTAACAAGTCAAACTAATATTGGGTTAATTAACCAAATTACGAAAGATCTTGAAAATTTACATAATTTAAACATAGATTCTATAAATACTCAAGTTGAAAGTATATTTATAAATGCAGCCAAACTTACACTGAAAAAGAAGAAGATGTCAGGTAAGAGGAAACAAATAAAATCAAATAAATGGTATGACAATGACTGTGTTAAATTAAGAAAGAAAGTTAAATCCCTTGGTCAGATACTGACGAAAAATCCCAATGATAGCTGTGTTAGACACAATTACTTCAAATATTTAAAGCATTATAGAAAGTGTTGTAAAGGTAAACAGAAAGAATATAAAAAAGAACTGCTAAATAGGTTAGAAAATCTGTATGAAACAGACCCTAAAGAATATTGGGAACTATTGGACAAAATGAGAAATAATGAAAAGGGTAGTGACGGAAATGATATATCACCTCGGGGCTGGTATGATCACTATTCCAAGCTTTTTACAGATAAATCAAATGACACGACTAGGGATGAGAAAATAAAGGCTTTGGAAAATGATAAAACATTTGATAATTTAGATTATAAAATAACGGATGAAGAGCTTTGGCAAGCAGTGAAAGGCCTGAAAAATAAAAAGGCGACTGGCCATAATGGTGTCAGTTATGAAATGATAAAAACATCATACCCTGTGATAGGGAATATTATTTTAAAGATGTTTAATACTATGTTTTCAAATACACTCTTCCCAAAAGAGTGGAATGTATCATCAATAATAACTGTTTTCAAGAAGGGTAATTCAAGTGATCCTGGAAACTATCGTGGACTATTTATATCAGACTGCTTGTCAAAATTGTTCTCCATAATAATGAATAATCGTTTATATAACTATGTTCAAGAAAATCAAATGTTACAGGAAAACCAAATTGGCTTCAAGAAAAAGTCACGAACCACAGACCATATGTTTATTATTCGTACGCTAATTGACAGATTTATACACTTTGAGAAAAAGAAAATGTATATTTGCTTTGTAGATCTAAGAAAAGCATTCGACACGATATGGCATAAGGGACTGTATCTCAAACTTCTCCAAGCAGGAATTCGAGGTCATTTTTATCACATGGTAAAACACATGTATACTAATTCAATGGCATCAGTTAGAATTAACAGTAACGGTGACCATACTGATATCTTTAAATGTGAGAGGGGGGTTAAACAGGGGGACCCACTCAGTCCATTAATGTTTAATATTTACATCAATGATGTTGTTGAAGAATTAACACTTGAATCAGACTTAAAATTACAAAAACAAAAAATAAGTTGCCTGCTATTTGCAGATGATTTAGCCATAATTACTGCAAATAAAACTGATATGGACATAAAATTGAAAAAATTAAACAATTATTGTAAACAATGGAACTTAGATATCAATACTGATAAAACTAAAATTGTAATGTTTAATAAAAGTGGTAAACGATGTAATGATATATTCTACATTGGGGACCAGGTAATTGAAAACGTATCAAAGTATACTTATTTGGGTATGGAATTCCATGCCAACGGATCGATGAAACAAGCTGCAATCTTTATTAAAGAAAAAGCAGAAAAGGTGAAATTCAAATTGATAAGTATGCTTACACATGGTGATATTAACCTAACTTTGTGCCTGAAATTATTTGACATATTAGTAAAACCAATTTTATTATATGGATGTGAAATCTGGGGTGCTGGTCTAATAACTAATAAAGATCTTCTGAAAAATAAAGATTTTGGCCTTGAAATGAAATATGACAAGTCACTTCCACCGGAATTACTACATCTATCTTTTTTGAAGTTTCTATTAGGGGTGCATAGAAAAACGAGTAATTTAGCTTCGATGGGTGAGTTAGGTAGATTCCCTCTGTTTATCAATATATTTTACCAACAAGTTAAATACTTAGATCATATAGAAAATGAAGGAACGAGTTCATTACTAATTAATGCATATGCAGATAGTATTGAACTATCAAAAGTTCATAATCAACCATCATGGTACTATGACATTGATAAAATAATGGCATATGTTCAACCACAAGATAAAAATTACATTAAAAGTAAACCGCTTGATATTAAGAAAATCCTTGAAAAAAGATATATAAAATATTGGGAAAAAACTGTCAATGATAATAAAGGGAAATTAGAATTTTTGAATAATATCAAACAACGATGGGGAAAAGAACCATATTTGAATTTAATAAAGAACGCCGAACATAGGAAATCCATGACGCGATTAAGAATAAGTGCACACAATTTAGAAATAGAGCGAGGAAGGTATACAAGACCAATAGTTCCGAGAGATCAAAGAAAATGCAAATTATGTAAAATCACCACTGGTACGGAAATTCATTTTATTTTTGAGTGCCAAAAATTGGAAAAAATGAGATATGAATACTTTGATACGTTTAACTCGATTTGCCCAAATCTAACTGTATTGACTACCGAAGAAAAGGCTAATTATATGTTTAATGCTGAGGGTAACATGTGTATCACCTTTGCAAAATACCTTTATGAAATAATTGAAAAGAGATCAACAACTATATTATCAATATAAATATATACATGTAGGTGTAGGCTAATAGTAGTTGTTCACGGTGACCAAGAGTTAACAGTGCAAATCGGCCCGGTCGTGTTTTTTAAACTCTTTAGTCGTGTTTTGTAAGAACATGGGATGCGACATTCGATAGAATGGAGCAAAATGGTAAGAATATTCTATATTTTACAAACGTACATATCTTGACTTCTACCTAAGATGTTCTTCTTCATACCCACGAATCTATTTTGGGGATAAATCCATCATACTTCATATCAATCGCAATTATATACCAAAAGTGCCAGAAATATGTACTTAATTTGCATTTAGTGTTATTTAATCAAGTTTAAACAGACAATCCATTCAACAACGTGGAATAATATTCACTACTCTAAAGATCGTGTAAATATTTTAACTGTATTTATCTTAAAATTGCCATAAATGACCGTAAATGTAGAAAGTGGAGTTAACTATGGAGAAGGGACAATATAACGTCATGGACGTGTCTTATAATAAGCATGTTAACGTTTTGGAATTGTAAAGATAACGTTTTAGACGTGATAAAATTAACGACTTTGAATTGTCTTGTAATATTGTTCACATTGACCATGTTTTGTTTGAAGATAAGTGTTTGTACTACATGACTATTCACATATTTTGTAATTTCAGTTCCTCGGAATAAGTGCCACGCGTGCTCTTTCAAAAGCGCTCATAAGAACACTTTCCTTGAACATTATGAGAAGGTTCATCCGACTGATCTGTTCAGAATTGACATCCCTATCCACGATCTAGTACTAAAATAAATTGAAAAACTAAATTCTTACTATCTCGTATTTCTGCTAGAAGTTAAAACTCAAAAAGTATCTTCTTAATCAATAATATAATTTATAGTTTATGTTGGTTTTATAATAATTTGCGGGCCTAGTGCGACACACACTATTAACCAGAAACAAATAGTATGCATTATTACACAAGCAGATCCCCACCATCTGTTCATGTATTAGTATAAAA